ATATCGAAGTGTCAAACCAAGCCCAAGTCTGAATTATGAGAGGAGCAGAGAGGTTCCAAGTTCCAACATCTGCGGTTTTCTTGTCCCGCACCCAGCGCGCCCCCCATTTCCGAGCAGCCCCTCCCCGGATTTTCAATAAAATAAGCTCATAGGGGCTTTCCCGAACCCCTCACTCACTTTGGACTCGCTTCCCCTCGTCTCCCCCTTTCTCTCCGGTGGCAGAACATGGCGTTCCTAGGTTCCTGGACAGGTAGTGACTGTAACCACACACTCATCATCAGCAGCCATGAATCTAAGCCAAGCTGCATAGATATCGCCCTAAGTAGAAGTAGAGTGGAGTAGAGCCAGACTTCCAAGTGGCCCTGTTGCTGTTGTGCTCGAGCGCGGCGGCGGCGCCCCACACTTCCCTTCCCGAGCTCGGCGCCCAGCCAGGCTCCAATCCAGTCCAAAACAAGGAGGTGCGCCGTGTGCCGAGGCTTGGGCATGAGCCCGGGGGGGGGGGAGAAAGCTTATTTCGGTGAGCAGCATCGTGTGTTGATATTGTCGGGAGTGAAGAAGGAATGAAAGGGAAAGGAAAAGAGAGAAAGGAGAAAGGGAGAAAGGGAAAAGAGGAGATGAGAGGGTGAGGGCATTTTGGTCTCCACGGAATGAGGAGTCCGCGGAGATATCGGGTTGAGTAGAAGAGCGGCGTAGGTATCGAGAATTGAGTTTCGACGGGTAGAAGCGGGCAGGTGGTATCACAGATATCGCCGGTGTCACGGCAGGATGGAAAACTTTAATATTGCCAAGTGAAGCTGGTTCTCTGGTCTTCTTCACTCCCCCACCCTGAGACACTGTGAACCCGCAAATTCAAAAATCATCTCAAAGAGAGAAAAAAGTCACCCCACGAGCCGTTCACGAACCTCTAAGATCAATGTAACCCCCCCCCCCCCCCCACAAGCAGGTCCCCCCCCCCACATGTTCAGAACACGCCCGGTCTAATGAACCAGCGCCCAAAAATGGGGGATACCGAGAGACTCAATCCAAGATATCACATTGAGTATGGGAAAATGATCTACATGCACAGCTGCTCTCTAACGTTAGCTCAGTGGGTGCAGGGTAGGTACTCTACGTATGTCCAGCTCTATGATTGACGTGTGAACGGCTATTCTGCTGTTGCAGTGGTGGTGGTGGTGGATACATACATGTATATCAACTTATGCCAGGCTACTTTTCCCATATTCCCTGCCTACGCTACAAGGTGTCTTCCGGCAGAGTAGCTATCTACTCGTATTTCTCTGACGTTTTTGAACTGGGCCATTATTGCATACACCCAAAATCATGAGCTTGGCGTATTTTTGTATGGCATGCAATATCAGTCGCGTCCACAAACGTCAGTGAAATACGAGTACGCTACTGTACTCTAGCAAGATACCTACATCTAGAGAGTGGGTATAATAACGCCTGTGGTGGGAGGATTCCGGGGGTTCCTTCACAGGGTTTCACTCACGCACTCTATCGACGAAGATTAAGGGCCGTGCTTCATCCCTCTCGTCCTTTGTCTGTCCCACCAGGTGCGCAAGCAGAGCCCCAACGGTAACCCCCCATGCTCATGCAGGGCTTGGTCTTTCGCTAGAGTGCGACGCGCGGGGGTGAGGGGAGAAACCCGGTTGTGATTGCTTGCTTCGGCTGCTTGAGAAACCTAACCCACCATGGGACAGACGGACAGGGAGTTTGAGATCGCACGTCAGGGCTGCTGCATGCTGTACCTACATTGCACAGTACGGTACGGCGCCCGCCCGCTCGCCGAGAGAGAGAAAAAAAAAGATGGTGTTCTTCGCGGCAGCATGTAGAGTTTTGATGTTTCTGGCCGGTCCGGGTGAGGCGCGCCTTTTTTTTCTTTCTTATCCGGCTGGGTCAGACAGACAGAGAGATTTATGATGTGATGTGATTTGATGTGAGCGCGCTCTAGCTAGCTGCTATTACGGGTATTGGGTATTTAGTTATTTGGCACTGACTGAGCTGATGTGAGAGGGAGGTTGATCAAGCAGGCGCAAGGAAAAAAAAAGCGGTTTTTTGCACCCACCATCTCTACTGTGCGTATTACATGTCATGGATTTGCACTCGACCATGAGGAAGCTTCACCACCAAATGAATCCAGCCCGTGGGGGTGTGAAGGAGCGCCCCTTCCCTTCAAACCTCTCATATGTACGGTACGTTGAAGCGTTGCTTCTTAAAAAGACTGAACGAATAAAAAATAAAAATATAAAAAAAGTGAGAGAGAAAAAAGTCTTAGGAGTTTAAGCTAAGCTGGAGATACAACGTGCTATTTATTTTTTCTTTCTTGTCTTGTTCATGTGCTCCAACCCGCAACGGCACGTTGAGCTACCGCAGAATTAGATGCGGGGGTAGTTTACTCACCTCACCCTACGATACCTAGGAATCTACTCTACACGTGCGGTTCTAGTGTTGATCTATGCTGCCGGCTCGATCCACACCCATACCTACATGGTAGAGACCAGAGAAGGAGAGACATGGGTGGGAATGATTAAATAACCAGGAATGTTTTACCTGTTTCTGGTGGTTTCAAGTAGGTACTGTAGCTGTGGATCACCTGCAGTAAAAAGCATCAATCTACACTTGCACTTGACATCCCTCTCTCTCTCTCTCTCCACCACATTTTGAAAACCCGTACAGACAGTTACAGTGGAGTCTCGATAATAGCATATGGTCGGGAACGGATTTTCGTGTGCCACTATCGGGGATATGCTTGTATCGAGAACAACTTTGCCCGTACCGACTCGTTTGGGATTGCCCAAACATATGCTACTATCGAGGATATGCTATTATCGAGGTTGCTACTATCGGGACTCCACTGTAGTTGGTTATGGTAGCTAGCTAGTAGCCAGCGGGTGGGAAATACCCGATCCCCCGATCACCGACGGAGACCTCCATGATACAGAGTTTCAAAGCAGGAGAAGTTAAACCTATCCTGTTCACATCTACCTACTCTATCTCACCCTCCGTTTAAATCTCAAGACATAACTACTCGCTGCAGCGCCAGACCCTGAGTGAAATCTGATAAGGTTCAACTAAATAAGTGAACGGTATAAGTGATTGGTATTATATTTTAGTCCCCCCCCCCCCCCTCTACCCACTCTACTCTACCCATACTGGCATAACTCCCCTCACACCAGAACCCGAAAAGGCGTGTCACGTTGGACCATGATCTGCAAAACGCCCATGTAGGAGCGAAGGGTGGCGCGCTACCTAGGTAGATGCCCCGCTCATCTATCTTGCTTGCCTACCTGCTTGCTTGCCACAACACGAGCATGAGCACTGCCAGCTGTGATCGCAAAGGGTACTGAAGCCGTCGGTACTATTCTGCGCTGGAATAGGAATATATATATGTTCTTTGTTATTGTTGTTGCGGGGGGTACGTTGCATGCCTGCTTTTGTCTCCGCTCCCTTGTGAAGAGTTACACTTTATCGCTGTTAAAATAGTTGTTGGATCCTTTCACCGCCGGATAAAGACGGAGGTTAGTTTGTGGGCCCTCCTCTTAGAGTAGAGTAGATGCTCTAGCTGCTTTTCTATCTTTATTTCCTTCGTTGAGATTCTGATCTGATTCGATGTTTTGCAGGATGCATATTTAGTTAATTGGGCCTAAGTTAGCTACTAGTCTAAGTGCAAGTTACTGTGCAATAATACCGTTCGTCAGTAGCTCTTGGTGATAAGTAAAGTGTAGATAGATAGGTTACCGTCTACTCTACTCTCCATGATAGGTGATCTCAAATATTTAATCCAGATTTCCATATCCGTCCTGTGAGAAAGATCGAAGAAGCAGAAGGGAGGGGCCCATTTACCGCGCGCGCACGCGTGGGCCGTTCCGTAGAAAGTGTATCTGCACTGGGCCCCGGGGGGGGGGGGGTGCACTGGGTTGAGTGTAGTTACAGTATCTCGTGTGTAATTCGCTGTCCTGGCGGGTCCTAAACTTTGAGGTAGGCCCTGTTTTCAACCAGACTTTCACTTTTAGACGGCGCGAGCTGCAAGGGCCAAGACTGAGGTGAGGTGGGGGGGGGGGGGGGAAGAAGAAGTAAAGAACAATAGCACTGCTAGTGGAGAGTTGGTACAGTACAGTGGTTCCTTGGGTAATGGCGAATGAGCAGCTAGGGTGCAGTGCAAGATCATGCTATGCTATCTCATCCGGATGGAAATCACCATCTGTTTTTTCTTTACTGGGTGCAGAACGGCTAGATACTATCCTTATTTGGTATTTGTTCTTTTGCCTAGAGTATTTGTGATTTATTTCTTCATCCTGCATGGTTTGGTTGTTTCTTTCTCGAGAAGCTATGATTCTGCGCCTTGTTGGTTTTTCTACTGGCATGTAAATAATAGTCCCACTATTAAAAAAAGCACTCTTCCTGACCTACTAATGGGCCAATGCGGATTTACTCTGAATATTGGCTAACAAGTGCGCACTCGCCATTGACGCAGAAAGCGCTGTAGAGCTGGTTTACTAGTTACACTGGGTCAGCCAGAGACATGATCTGAGAGGGACCGGACCCTTTGCACCACACGTGCTGCTGGACCGGGGGTGAGTAGGAGCGGCTATAGGCAAATTCACTAGCGGACACTCGGCATGACATCACGGCTCATTCTTATCTGGACATCAACATCAAAAACTGAAAATCACACTAGCTCCAAGGGTTCAAAGGGACAGAACCCCTCAAATGACCCATGCCCGGGGGAGGCGACCCTTTCCTTCTTCAACCTCCGCATTCCATCATATCATATCCGCAGCTGGATCCACGGGGGGCGGTCGTGCGATATGTAATATTTTTTCTTTTATACCCTTTGCTCAAATACGTCGGTGCATAGCTTTTTCCTACATAAAGTATATAACAGGCCCTGCTTCCGGCCTCCTGTCTAAATATTCCCAGGAAAGAGGTCCCGGATAGTCTTCAACTTGTCCTTTCCCTAGAATCTCATCCCCCGAATCTACCTCGACAAATATTCCAAGATGGTGAAAAATTGGTCGTTAGGTATCTTGGAGGATCCGGAGACAACAGAGGTTCCAGGTGCGTTGACGATATTCTCCCGGATATCTCCCTTCTCTTCTGCGGTTTGGAGATGTCCATGGACTCCGTTTTGCTAATGCAGCTCTATTATCGATTCTCATAGGCACCGTCCTGCTACTCACCTCCACAACACAGGAGCCTCTTGGTCTCGATGAGCTCCCCCGTGAGGAACAGAAGCGCACTCCGGACGGAACTATTATTCTTAATCCCCAGCCGGATGATCATCCTGATGACCCGCTAAACTGGGCTAGCTGGCGAAGAGATGTCGCGCTGCTGTGTTTGGGATGGCACTGTCTTGTTGGTGGTGGCCAGACACCGGTTCTGGCGGCCGGGTTTAATGATGTCGCAAAGACGTTCGACGTCTCGATCCCGGATGTTGCGTTGACGACTGGTGAGCCTTGTTTCTCTCTCTCCCTCTCCCCTCGTCTGTTTTTGCGGTTATGGTTCGCGATGCTGCTTCGTGACATCGCGCGCGGAAACTTATTAGAGAGGTTGTACGAGATTAGTGTTACAGCGCCAATCCCAGTACATATGGGTTGGGGGTTATAGCAGCCAAGCTAATGGTTCGTGCCAGGCCTTTTCATGATGGGACTTGGTATTGGTGCCCTGATATCTTCACCCACAGCTATTATTTTCGGCAAACGGCCCGTATATCTATTCGGAGTTCTCATTTTCCTTGCATCTTCGATATGGTGCGCTGCATCGAAATCATACGGGTCATTGGTCGCGGGGAGAATACTGATGGGCATTGGTGTTTCGCCGTGCGAGTCGCTTCCTAGCGCTACGATTGCAGAGATCTTCTTCTTGCACGAGAGAGCGTACCGTATTGGTATCTACACGCTGCTTTTGCTTGGTGGGAAGAATTTGGTTCCGTTGGTCAGTGCGGCGATCATTGAGACAATGTCGTGGAGATGGGTGTTCTGGTGAGTCTTCGGTTTCCTGGATAGTAGGATTCCAGGCGGAAAGCTGATTGTGGTCTTGTATAGGATTGTCGCTATTATTGTCGGATTTAATTTGGGTCTCTTGTTCCTCTTTGTCCCGGAAACCTTTTGGGTCCGTACCCCTCGTGGAAAGTCACCCTCCTTCCTGCGCCGGGCTTCATCTAGCATATTTTCGCATTCCGGTTCAAGCAAGAAGAAGGAAAAGTCCAGGTCTCGACGAACTTCAGTAGACGTTCTACCTCCGGATGGCATCGCTAGACTGCCGGTCACCAGCGACGCAATCGAAGGCGTTGAGCAAGAGCAAAAGGCCGACATGAAACATGCTCATTTCGTTACGCCAGAGAAGCCCAAAGATGAGATCGATGAGGTTTCACCACCAAAGGAAGTCTACAAGATGGATGGCGGAAAGACCTCGCGTGCATCGCTCGACGAATATGTCCTCAAGGCTGCCGCACAACCGCTACCCTCAAATGCAAACATTGAAACCGCGGAACCTGTCACGCCCAAGACCTTCACTCAATCATTGACAGTTTACAGCGGTATTCTCCGCCACGAAAATTGGTTGAAGGTTGCTATACGCCCTATCATTCTTTTTGCGTACCCTGCGGTTCTCTGGTCGACTGTCGTTTACTCGCTCTCTGTGGGCTGGTTGATCGTGCTGTCGGAGACTGTCGCACATATCTACCAGGAGCATCCTTATAACTTTTCTCGTCTAGCAACGGGTTTGGTGTACTTGTCGCCGTTCATTGGTGGTATCATCGGAACAGCAGTTGCTGGAAAGGTATCTGATATCATTGTTAGAGCCATGAGTAGGGCAAATGGAGGTGTTTATGAGCCAGAGTTTAGGCTGGTAATGGGAATCCCTGTCGCGATTGCTACTGCGATTGGACTTATGGGGTGTGTACTCCTTTGAATTTCCTGCCATGTTGAAATAATATACTAATAGCTTGCTTAGATTCGGTTGGTCTGCGCAGGAGCGCGATAACTGGATGGTCCCGACTTTCTTTTTCGGTTTGATCTCGTTTGGGTGTTCTCTTGGATCCACAACTGCGATTACTTTCTGCGTTGACTCCTACCGCCAATACGCCGGTGAAGCACTTGTCACCCTTAATTTCTCTAAGAGTAAGCGCCCCTCATCAACTTTGAAAGAAACGTGTGGTTTACTAATAATTGTGAAACAGACGTTTTCCACGGACTTGTCTTTTCCCTCTTTTTCAACCGGTGGCTCGAGGCAGACGGCTCAAAGACCGTCTTCCTGGCGCTCGGCGGAATCCATATGGCCTGCCTGCTGTTCACCATCCCGCTCTACATCTATGGAAAGCGGTTGAGAATGTGGACCACCAGGGCCAAATTGATGGAGAAATGGACTTGAGAACCTACTCGAACCATTTGCCATTATTCTTGGCATTATTGGTCACGTGCGAGCTTCTTGGCAAGCATGAGAGTAATGGATGGACTTTTGTTTTTTATGACTAGACAAACGTCGTTATGTATCATGTTTCTGTTTAATCACCATAACCCCCCCCCTTTTTTTTATATTACTATTAGGATTGCATGAGTTATGGGAGAAGGCGTTTATTTCGTTGCGGTGTTGCTCGGGGCAGAGGTTTCTTCTACATTACTTGCATCAGTAGAGTAGAGTAGAGATATTGCTCATAGAGAATTGATTTACATCTTTTCTAAACTTTCTGTGTGGAGATTGATTGTGAGATGATAGCTTCAGTTGCCGTCATGATCATTGTTCGTTCTGACTCAGCTACATGTTACAATTGCTGTGACTTGAATCACAGATAATCACTCGGTAGTCTGGAGCTAGATAAAGGGAGGAGGAATTATGCCTTAATCTCAGGCGGGTAGTTATAGACGTGCCAAATTTTAAAGGCCATTTGTTTTCTCCGAATCAAAGGACTTGCCGTGCGGCCATTAAAGAGAGTAGACTGGTCTTTCTGAGCTTAGCTTGAAGTTATACGTAAATCGTAAAGCGGGTTAAAGGCGCTGTAATCATCAGGCGTGCCTGGGTTTCTTTAAGTACAGGCAAACAGTATGGATGGATTTATGGCTTTTTGGGGTATGGGCGTTGCATGCGGTGGTATCAGAACGGGCCGGCTGTATGTGTGGAGAGCTTGAATTAGTTATTAGGAAATCAGAAGATACAGGTGTCTAGCTAAATGGCTTTTGGTATTGAATGGACGCTTTCAACAGTTGGTGTCGAAAATAATCGAGTGATACCTATGATTATTGATTATTTCGGGTGGGTGTGATGGTGGTGGTGATGGTTGTTGGGAAACTACACCCCTCTATTTACTGCTCCGGGGTCATAGACGCTACATCGCGGTGTGAAAAACCAAAATAGTGCTGGGGTTGTCGGTTATAATATTTTCGACGGTCCTTGTAAGAATTCTGCGCATGATGCTTAACTTGAGTTCTTGTGTAAAAATTATGTAGCATGTTCAAATTATACTCGGGTCATTGTATGGGAAGACTGATATGATATTTCAGCAATATTCAATCAGAGACTGGGAGGGGCATGCAGAAGAGCCATCTGTTTATTCACACATGAGCATTTGATATCGAAAACCACCACATCCGATCAAGGGGAGTCATTGTGAGATAGGTATAGAGTATGTAATGATATTTCTTCTTACGAGAGTCTTTGGGAACAATATGACTTAGTGGTGTTTGTCTACTTAGTATGAAACTACCAATGTAACCTTTGTATTTTATTATGCCTGTAGCTGCAAACCGATCGGGTTACATGATAACGGTTACTTCCGAATTATGAGGGGTTTTGGGGATTCGATTGGTAATTATACACTGTGCGGAGTTTCTTATTGCAGTATGATATTGTCGGTATCCTCTTATTCAATTATGGCCTCGAGTTGAGAAGTAAACAAAGGCCTGTGTGATATGAAGGCCATTTTTCCACCGAAAGGTAGAGTGGAAGATCACACACTTTGGGGTGACACTGGTCCAAAAACGAGAGCATGGTAGAAATTACAAGCCGAGGGACAAAAATTACAGAACATGTCCAGTACTTCCTTACTTAGCACCAACTCCAAGTCCAGGCCGTGAATCAACGTTTGTGAGTAATTTTCTATCATAGTTAAGCAACCTTGAACCAGCGGTAAATGAAAGGAGAGTTCACTACTAACCTAGTCCTTCAAAACCTTCCCTGGTCCGCCTTGGTAAAAGTTACCCTTTACCCTCCCCGCCAAGTGCTCACCATAAACCTTGGCTTCATACTTCCTCACTCCCCCCGTTTTCTCCAGACAACACTGCAATGGCTCCACTCTACAGCGCCTGTCAATTCATCCTCCCGCTTAAAGCAACAAAAACATCGCATCCGGGAAAACTCACCTCGCATCCCAATCCGGCTCAAAGAAGAACGGAACACTGACCCTAAATCCTGTCCCTCTATGCACAACCCTGTGCACCGTACTCTTCCATAGTCCGTTTGTCCATACCTCCAACATGTCCCCGATATTAACCACATATGCACCCTTCAACGGGTCTACGCCTATCCATCCGCCTTGCTTATCCCGGACTTCCAGTGCGCCCCGCGTCTCGTCAGCTAACAGGAAGGTCGTACACCCGTAGTCTGTGTGGGCACCACAACTGATACCCGGAGAGGTAGCAGGTAGCGGAGGGTATCCGATGGCGCGGAGACACCAGAACGGCGAGGTAAGGTGAGGGGTGAAGAGGTCTTCAGTGGAGGATAGGGCGAGCGACATGGCGCGGAGAAGGGCATGCCCAACAGTGTGAAGACCCGCGATATAGGCCTCGTAGAGGGAACGGAAGTGTGGAGGTTTTTCCGGCCAGGGGTTTGGGCCCTGGACAATATCGTAGGGGGGACCAGAAGAGGTGTCGGAGAGAGGTGGGTGGTAGTAGTCAAGGGCCTAGTTGGTTAATATTAGGGTTAATCAGCCGGTAGTTGTGAGGAGGAGAAAAAGGAGGGATTAGAGCGTACTTCGTGCCAATCCTGGTGAAGACGTTAGTACCTCTCGAAGCAGATATCTTCTGATAAATTTACCCCCGATCCCATAGTGATGTTTTCGCCCAGCTTTTGCCAACCTCTTGCGCCATCGCCTCCCTCGTCTATCTCTTTCCTCTCAAGAGCCTGCTTCTCCTCCTGGGTGGCGGTCATAAAAAACTCACGGGCTGCTTCCAATACTTCATTTTGTAGTTCTTCTGGAACTCCATGGCCTGTAAGGTAGAAGAAACCGACGTCATGACAAGCAGTATAGAGTGCTTTCGCGATCTCTTGTTTTTCAGAGAGAGTTGAAGTGGGAGTGAGAAAGGGTGTGAGATCTATTATTGGCAACGAAGAGATGACAGACATTTTGGATGAGCTTTGAGACTTTGGTATTGATAGAGAGAAGGTTTTAGTTGATTTAGCTGATAGTAAGCCTACTTTAGAGCTACCTCGATAGCGGGGTTTTGGTAGCGGATACTTATCGCTTGTTATCGTTATCAGACCTTTGTAACCTTATCGGGTTAATACCTGGTTGCCGAGTCTGGCCGGGCTTTGAAACCTATTAAATCAATCAATGATCATGGAGCATTTTCTACTACTGTATGTACTTGAGTACATAGTTTATCAGGTGAGGTAACTTCTCAGGCCAATTAAAGATGGTCTCACCTTTCTCCGGGGGAAAGACCGGCAGGTAGGCCGAAATGCCAAGCAATGTGAGTATCGGATACAGTGGTACCATGGTACTATGTGTCTGTATAACGGCCAGGTACCAGGAACAAAATAACCGTAAATATGGCAGGTAGGATGTCTCAAATCCGACAATTGCCCCTAACGCCTGAGAAGACCTATGAAAACACGTTGTTAGTAGTTGTTGATCATATCTGCCCTATATGTGGCCAGCAGTGTATCTACCGGGCAAAGATATATAATATATATGCTACAGCTTGCTGAACCAGAAGAAGATATGAAAGCTCATTTCACTTCATACTAATAATCCTTGGCTTTTAAGTTTTGCACTCGCATCTTCTATTCTAATGCTGCATCTAAAGTATAAAAACATATGTGGAACTCTACACCTACTTAGGTTCAAGTGTCACAAACTGGACCCAGCGGCCCGCTCACCTTGCCACTCCACAGCTCAAAACCAACTACATCCCTGCATACACTACAATTCTCCGAAAACTCTATTAAATAACATGGGGAAACCCTGATAGAACGATGTTCTCTGCACTCATATAAAAAATTCCCCCGTTCCTTTTGTCCGTAAAGGTCAACTCCATGTGCGATAGATTAAATGACTACGGCTGTATTAACCTAGTATGGAAGAATATCTTCTGGTATGCATCCACTTTAGCCATGTTGATCAGGAACCAGCTAGGTAGACCTTGATAGCTACTTCCTATTTGCATCGTGATGAAAAAAAGCTTCCCGAAAAACAACAGCGCGTCCACTCAAAGGGGCTTTCTGCATCTAGCTGGGCGTTTTATGTGCCAAAAATTCCCCTATTGACCTCGTTTACTTGTAGGTTTTATCTTTACTCGGCTCATCATCTCGTTTCTTTGCAGGAAATCAACGGGCCGCTGGGAACGAAGGCACGGAATCCGATACCAAGCTATGAGAATATATCCACGAGTCTGCCTTGCAGTCGTCTAAACAAACCTCCGACAATTAACTTACGCTTATATCTCAAAAGCTTTATAAAAGCTCTTTAAATCCCCATCACGGCTCATCACTACCCACATCTCAGTATTCAAATCACACAGTCGAAATGAAGTTCAGCACCACTCTTCTCGCCACTCTCCTCCCGCTGCTCTCCCTCGCTGCACCCACCCCAGAGGCAGAGGCCAAAGTCGAAGAACGCCAGACCATTACCTGTCCCGGCAACTCTGGGGGTGGATGCGGAGTCTACACCGTTAGTGGCCTTGGAACTCGCAAAAAAGCTGTCATTGCTGCTGGAGGAACCAGTTTGGACCTCGCAATTGCTATGATGGAGACGGAAGGAATGAATACCAACTACGCCTATGGCGACAACAAATCCGGTGATGCTGCCAACTTCGGTATTTTCAAGCAGGTATAATATACTCGTTCAATATCCTATCTAAGGCTAATAGCGAGAACAGAACTGGTACATGATCCGTTCTACCTCGTCCACCTTCAGTGGGCAGACCGCATCGCAATACAATAACGGCGCCGCCCTCAACTCCAACCTGGCACTCGATGTGACCACACGAAAGAATGCACAGAACTACTACGGGTGGGATAAATGGGCTGGTGGACATAGAAACGGCCAAACGGGGTTGAACAGCCCGTACACCAATGATATAAATCTCTACAAGACAGCTGTCTTATGGACACAAAGCCAGATCAACAGTAACTCGGCGTATTTGACCGATGATACCAGGTATATAACGTCCTTCCCTTATGACTACTTTGATCTATGTATGCATTTATATCTGCTGCTAACAATTCTGGTCGATAAACTATAGGTTCTGGGTTGATGTTGTAGCTATCTAGATCTGCTATATATTAGCCGGTTAAGGGATCTGAAAATTTATGTTCTATTTTGTCACATTGCTTTGTACATAATGGAACCCAAGAGAGTTGGAAGAGAAATCATACGACGGTGTCTAGCTGAAATAGCCTTATATTCTGAGCGACCAACGAGTGATTATCCATGATCGATCATCATGTAGCTATGTATATTTATGTTATCTATTTATCCTTGGGTGCTTTTTTTTCTCAATCTTTAAGGCCAAATATGATTTCATATTTATCATCACTCGAATTTTAGGGTTCCTTTGCCTGGATGCACAAGAATTCCTTTCTATTATAGTTCACCAGGACCTAAACTTCAATTCTGATAGATACAAATTGATGAGTATTATGATGACACTAACAGAACAAATGTAAAGAATAAATTTCCTGGTAAAAGTGATTGTTGATGATGTGTCACTCAAACAAGACCCTTTCTAACTTAAACATTTGGCTTCTTCTGTTTTGCATTTGGGAACATTGGGTTCTCGGGGTCTGGGCTCAACTGCCTTTTGAGACCTGTAGGCGACAACAACGATGTTTGGTCGCTGCTGCCACGAGGGAATTTCAGAATCTTCTTGAATCGATTGGCCCAACCCGGGGTGTTCTGGTTACCGTTGTCCGCCTGAAGACTCTTAGTTGCTTCAAGAGTCAAATCCTCCTTTTGTTGGGGGGAAAAATCTTCTGAGAAGTATCCACGGCTAGGATATTGGTCTGGGTAGTTATAGTTAGGTTCCAAAGGCTGAGCTACGGCAGTAGGACCTGTCCCTGAGGTTATTAGTACTTAATTATCAGACATAGAGAGAGGGTAAATCATAATTTTGGAAGTACCTCTATCAAAAAATGGAATTTCAATATGCTGGAGTTTTGGGGGAATCAAGTTTTGTCCTCCGTTGGTGGTAGTGGCAGGCTTTTTTCCGGGTTCCTCACTAGGTCCTACTCCACCACTCTGAGTGTTAGATGAACTCCCCTTAGCCGTATCATCATCAGAAGACGAATCATCAGCTTCCCGCTTAGATAACATTAGAATTGATCCATCCTGTTTATGGAACTTTCCTTTCCGGCGGATGTTACCAGGCCTTTTGACTGCTGCCGCCGGAATTCCGCTTCTATGTGACGCTTCATGTCCAACTGCAGCCGCTGGGGAGATCTGTCCTTTAGGTGGAGTCGTTCTGATGGAGCCTTCCTCAGTGATGGCATATGAGAGAGGGCGGTACAGGTAGGCCGATGGAAGGTTGTCCCAATAGCTTGTTTCCATGTTGACAGTATCTTCTTGGACAGTATTTCCTTGGACAGCATATTCTTGGACACACTTTCCCTTATCCTGCGCGCTCTCATCACCCATATGAGAATCGTCGTTATCCTGTTCGGTCCTGCTCTCTTTTTGGGCATTGGAGCTATCCCGTTTATTTAAGAGAACCTCATCCTCAGAGTCTGTTTCTTCCAGGGTAGTTTTAAGATCCGCCGCAGCTTGAAGATTATTGTTGGACTTATTGATAGCACCGGAATAGATGTTATCAAGATTAATAATATCCGAGCTTCTAGGAAGGGCCGACCTTCGATTGGTAACAGACGGCAAAGCGTCTCTATTCGCCCTTCCATTTGGATACTTAAAGGAATGAACGCTGCGTTCATTTTTACGACGGACTGCTCCATCTGTATCGATTTCAAAAATGCCCTTCTCCTCGCAGAATCCCGGTTGACACTCGTTATCCCCCAAGGAACAAAGAGTATCAGAGCTATTTGTTCTGGCGCCGAGTTTTTGGGTATTGAAACTCTCATTAGAGTGCTTGTTTTCCAAAAGCTCATTATTGGATTCTTTACTCAAAGCAAACTGCCTATCTATCTTAGTTTCGGCGAACACTCTCGCAGTACCGAATGCTGTGGGAAGCCGATTGATACTCTCCGAATGAGTATTGATAGTAGGCGCTTCTTTGATAACTGGTTCGGGAAGTTTCTTGGTCCAATAGTCAAGTCCCCCAACACTAGACCAACCAGCACCCTTTTCATACGCTTCTTTGAAGCTCTCGTGGCTCGTCTTCGTAAGTTTCACAGTAACTGCTCTGATACTATCCACATCAATAGTATCCGCCGTGGAACCAGACCCATTCTCAATGGAAGTAGCAAGGACTTTGAGTTTATATAGGTCCTCAATCAGGGAAACTTGGATTTTTGCTTGGATAGCTGCCCACTCCATCCAGAAAACGGCAGTATGATCGAAGCAATTGGCACAGGCTTCATTCATCTCGGCTTGAGTTGAAGAGTTCGTTCGGGAGTGGATTACAGCAGCGTATGTTTCGAGAGAAGAGGCAAGATCGATGCTGGTGAGACGAGACGCGTTCATGCTGAGGTTTAAAGCGTTGATTGCAGAAACGACTCCCACAAATGATTTATCTTTGCCACTGAGGCTGCGGCTATATGATGAAGAACTTGATTAGAGATTGAATCATCGATATAATCATGATCAAGAAGGGATGTACCTTGCGTGCCCAGGTGGATCAGGACATAAAGAATGCTCAGTGAACATTTCCCCTTTGTTGATGTATTTTACAGGATGGCATCCAGGTATAACACTGCTTTCACAAGCCTGGCTCATAGGGCTGCGATCTTTGGGATTATTTGTAGAATGTTGACCAGTCTGAAAACCAGGGACTTGGGAAGAACAAATTCTTTCGACGCCGAGAATTCCAGATACTGATGATTGGGAAACAGACGAGAATGCATTAAGTTCTCCTGGACCAGCAGTCGAGCTGTTACCGGCAGGGGCTGCTGGTAATGCTTTACTTGTAATTGATGGTTTGTAAAGGCCCTCCATCTGAAGAGTAACAGAATTTACTGTCGATGCGACAGCTTACTTTTACAAAGGGAAAGATGGAAATTAAGGAATGTTGGGAAAGATGAACGAGGGGACAAAAACGGGCGTAAAGGAAAGCGATGGTAATGGGAAAAGAAGGGAAAATAGCGAAAGGCGGGATGGAGGAGGAAGAGAAAGAGAAGATGGAGGGGGATGAGAATGTTGGAGATGGTGGGGTACGAGAGGTGAGAGGTGGGAAGGTCACCAAATCAGAGGTGTGAAGTGACGTACCTTAAAGCTTGACTGGCGAGCCGCCAAGGATTCTTAACCTTCTGAAGAATAAAAACAAGCACGATTTTCCACTCGCTACTGATACTACTCACCCGGTAGCCAAAGCAAAAGGTACATGTAATTTGGAGTGACCGTCAGGCTCATAACTATCGTTTTTTTTATACCTATAGGCTACGATACTAGCACTCAAGTACGCTCTATAGATCACAATTGGATGGTTTCAAATCTCGACACAGCATTGCAAGCACTATAGCAGAAGTAGCTATATACACGGCCATAGTGGTTTCTGTTAGTGCATGTCTGGCCGGCGACGAGACCGGTAATATATAGTAAAACGAAAATGAATCATGCTTATCAATTAGGAGATCTAGCAAATTCATTAGAACGTGCTGGGGTCTGTGTTTTTAACAAATATGATATGTATACTATTGCGGACATGTACAGCCGCATTTGAAAAGTATTGGCACCTCCGAGCCAAACTCACGAGGCAGTCCTTTCTGCTTTTCAACCCTCATATTCGAGACAATTGCCAGAGAGAGCTGCCATGACTCTATTGCGGTCATACCTATCAATAAGTTGAGTATGCGCGAGTGCCATGGATTTTGGTGGGCTACAATTCATGAACGACTCAATATAGTAGGGTGCCAGTACTTTTCGAATGCGGCTGTACATACATGTACGTACGTGTAGATACCTCTGGTGTAGAGTATCGTTGCTGTTTGTGGGAGTACCTACTATTGACGGTGGTCGTGATGGAATGATATCCAGAACAATTTCTTCATATAATTTTCACATATTGACTTCTAAAGCACCAATGAATTAAGAATAACAATTCTTTTGTTTTTAAAGCAGTATGGATCGAGTGATAATCAATGACTGAATACTAATCTTGGAAGTGGCCAAGCCACACGTTTCGACAAAGCATGACTAATCAGTATCTCTTGCGCAATTGCACAACTTTATTCATGTGAGATGTGAATAGATAATTCTTAAGAAAATCGCTCGTCATTACCTAAATATTAGATACATGTATTCACTATGGTAAAGGTACATGTAGTAACCTTTCTAAGAGTTATTCCTCGATATAATAACGCCGTTTTCTAGTATATTACTTCTCCTTGGCATGATGCCAGGGTTCACGAATCCACAATCCGTCTCCTGAGCTCTATCAAAACCACTAAAGTAACCATTCCCTCAAGTCGAGTGCACAATCACGCGCCCAAACTCTCGTGATTACTTCGGAAATGTATCGGACACAATCCTCCTCGTCATCGCGATTTTCCGCATTCCGAAAACCCCACGAAATACTCTCCCCATCACCCATTTCACCTAGTCACTCCCGAGAGCGCAACCGAAGCAGCGGTGGAAGCTCTGTCGGCTCTCAGCAAGGGCAACCAAACCTTCTCGTTGATGAATCAGGCGACGAGGCCGACCGGGGCGGCCCTTCGAGAGTGAGATCTGAATCTCCGCCATGGAACGAGCACAATTCAAACCTGATCCCATTGCTACCTATGAATGAGAGCCGTGGCCTATTGAGTAGGACACCAAGCCCGTATCCTCCTACAAGGAGTGATGATTTAGATAAGCTAGGCGATGGGAGTAGTAGGGAGTGGAGGATTGGTATGGGGAGCGAAGGTAGGGCAAAAGAAACGGGATGGAGGAGTTGGATGAGAGATGGAAAGCTGGGAAGGTGGTTATGGAACACACAGAGAGGATGGATGGTATACATCGGGTTCTTGGTGATATTCTACAGCGCTGCAGGCTTCGGGTTATCAGTTGTGAATAATTTTACCTTACTAAGTAAGCTTCTGGAGTCTACACAGCCCTATAATTATTCTGAATCTAACTCACAACCGCAGTTGGTGTCTATAAATTTGTCTACCCAATTACAACTACCCTTTTCCAACTAGTCTTCACACAAATATTCCTTTACTTTGGCGCATCTATTACCCGGTCCTTTTCTCGCTCCCTTAACTCCCTCGGTCTCGCGCACATAATCGCGCCCACTTCTACTCCATCGAAAGGAAAGCGCCGAGCTTCTGGAGGCGGACTACGCGATTTTGCGCGCCGGTTGACCTGCGGTGATCGCGAAGGCGGGGTGTTCGAGTTTAAATGGGCAGAGGTCAGGAAAGTTATCCCGCTCGCTGTGGTCCATAGTCTTAAGGTTGTGTTGAGCAATATATCATTTGCGTAAGCTACCTCACCAATTGCCCCCAATAGATCTTTGCAGAGACCTTCATAGTATTAATGGACATATGTATATTACAGCTATACCCACCCGTCAATCTACCACATCTCCCGCGTTCCATCGCTCATTTTTGTCCTCATGTTTACTGCATGCTTCCTCAGAAACCAAGGTCTTTCTGTCACCACCCTCTCATCATGTATAACCATGACACTCTCGCTTGCTATGGCGTGTCTCCGCCCCGGAACCCGCTTTGCAATCGAAGGCTTTCTTGCCGGTATATTCTCCACTATCTTCGTAGCTGCCTACCCAGTTCTTCTATCAAAAACCTATAAATCGCTCCTTAAACCTTCCGGCAACGACGACCTTCTGGGCGTAGGTGTCGAAACCGAAGGAAAAGATGAAACCAGGACAGCATGGAAACTGCTGCACTACACAAATTTTATCAGTATTCTTGTGGTTTTGCCGTGGGTTTTCCTGTCTGGAGATTGGGGCGATATTAGCAGGAATTGCTATATTTTGGATGTTCCATGGTTTTGGCTATTGGTTGTATTTAGCGGTATTGGTGCATGGGGCACCTTTGTGGGTGGCTTTCTGCTTGTGAAGGTATCTATCTCTTCAATAATGAAATTTTGTATGGGACGAATGGCTAATATGGATCAGGCAACAACACCTTTAACAATGGTAGTATCAACCTATCCACGTACAGCGCTACAAACGCTATTTATGCCTCCTAATCTTCCCACGTGGAGTTGGGTGGGAGTTTTGACATGCTGGGGAAGCTCGATATGGTATTTGCTCGGTAGGAGAAAGGAGTGTGGCGTGAGCTTCTTTAATACTGTGGATGGGGATGAACCAATCCAGGTTACCAGGGGAAGAGCCAGGGGTAACAGTTCATTGTGAGATGCGAATTTATGTGTTGAGCCTTCTTACTAGCTGTGGTTTGTGTAAAATATCCTAGATGAGACTGGAGGAATGTTTGGACAATTGGTAAGCGTTAATGTGGTAGGATTATAGACTTATGAAAAATTTGGAGGTTAATGGTAATGAGTACTTGGGGAGTTTTTGGAGGGCACTGCACCATGGGCTTGTAATTTAGAGTAACTTAATACCCTTAGAAGTCTTTATTTTTAGATGAGCGGATGTTTGGGGTCTTTTTTCGTCCATTTATAATGATATGACTAGTGAGACCCATCGCTATGAAGTGTGTCTAGTTCTCGTCGTTTTAGGTGATCCCCGGATAAAGGGTTTAATTGGTCTTTTCGTTTGGTGAATTGTTTTCTCGGGATAATACCCTTAGAGGGGCGCTCGAGGGGGCTCTCAGGTTTTGCGGAAAATACCTTCCTCACGCATATCAGATGGTGCGGTTCAGTGTATCGGACATTGAAGAGATTGGAGGGCGGAAACAAGGAGCGAGATGTTTATTAGTATGAATTTCGGGTTGAAATCAAATGGACATAGTTTGAGGGATTTATTATCAAGTCCAGAGCTGCCGTTTAAAGTGTATGGCTGAAAACTGTCGCACCTAAAATAGTTATTCCTGTCTTCTATATAGAGTTCCAGCTCACTAGGAGAATTCAGACCGAAAAGCCAACCACCTATGGTATTTCCTGACCCAAACATGAAGGATCGTGGGTGACGTATCCCATTCACGAAAAATAAAACCCTTATTGTAGCTTGAGACTAGGAGTCTGCCTAAAGAACAGATGAGATGTACTATCCACGACGGTTTGTATATAGGGTACGTTCATAGCGGGGTCAGGACATCTGCCGAGCTCTTTTGGTGACATTTAGAATGTAATTAAGCTCAAATATCTTGGAGCATCCTATACTAGCGGGGTCGTTTTGACAGATACCCTACCGAATTAAGTAAATACTACATGTATATAACCTCTATCACAGATCATATTAACTACATAACTGTTAATTGTTACGCAACCACTTGTCCCCGTCAAGGCCACATACCATTGACAACAAGCCCTGACTGGCCGTACCTAATAGGGCTGATGGATTTTGACTTCCAACTCGGTAGATGACAGGAGCACAAGTGTTATGTTCGAGTGATCATCCATGTCTCGGCGGCGACGCCAAGTGGCTCGGCACCTTGGTATCGGAAGCGCCATCGGAAAACACTAAGAGTGGCAGGAGACAAGCTTTTGCTATCTAGCGGGATTAACTTTCGGGGAGTTCCTAAAGCTCCGAGCGGGTTGCGCCGGATACATAGTGTGATGCCACTCATGCGGGGTTCTTGGGTGAGTGTTATCTGCCTTGGGAACATGTTGATGGTGTAGCGACTACAACTGATATCCTTTATAGGCTGATATTGTTTGAGTTCGCGGGAAAGGATCTTTCGCCTGCAATTCGGGGATAGGGGGATGTAAATCTAGTCTATTAATTAGGTTTAGGGGCTTAGGACTTCGAACGTAAGGGACCCAGTTGGCAGAATCGGTATGGGATATATATGCCTTAACTTTTCCTTGATACACCACAGTACAATAGAGTATTTGGCCTCAATATTCAGAAAATTGTGTTGTAAAAATATATGTTCATTACACTTTAGTTAACCGTAACATAGACAAAAGAAATTACTTAAAAGCTCATCTGCTAATACAGGCAAAAATATCAATATCATAATTCTATCACGTAAATCATCTAAACCTGCGTTTTCTTCTTCGAAATAGCCGTCTTCACCTCTGCCGCCGGCTTTGGCTTAAACTCTGTATTGTTCGCATCTAACATATTCATCTCCTCCTCGGTCTTATTCAGGTCTCTGAATGTAAACCAAAAAGCCGTTCCCGCCAAACATGTAACTCCTGCTAGGCAGGCATAAAAGATGACCATTCTTGGGTTTTTCGACGTCGGAGATATCGCAATACCGATTGCTGACCCGAATGCATTTTGTAGAAGAAAGAGAGCCATGACGAGGGATTTCATCGATGGAGGTGCTTTGGTGAAGGCGTACTCGAGGCCAGTGATGGATGCAAAAATTTCGGAGAAACCAATGAGGACATATGCGGGTGTTTGAATCGCGACGTGCACTTTATTAGGGGTGGTACCATCTTCACTAGCGGCGCACTCAAGAGGGCCGTCGTAGCAAGGACCAGCATTGTAGATCATCCTCTGGACTCCTGCGGCATAGGCCATGGCCGCTGAGACGAGGAAAAAGCCGAATGCGATACGGGTGATTGGCTTGAATGGAATCTTCAATTTTCTGAGAAGAGGGTAGATGCCCTTTTCCATCAATGGGATAAACAAGATGATAGAAATTGGGTTCAGGTTGAAGAGGAGATCATTTGGGATTCCATGTGTTTCCATTGTTCCGGCCATGGAGACAAAGTTGGAGTTCATTTGACCATACAGAAGCCAGTAGACGGGATAGAAGCAGAAGACTCTACATGCCACAAGAGCACGCTTGAGTTCACTGACGAACTGTTCACCGTGGACGGGGATGGCGGCATCCATATTGAAGCCAGATTTGGCGGCCAATGTGAGTGCTTTGATGGCATCAAGGAGGACTGAACCCTTTGGTGGGCGGATAACGTAATACTTACGACCGATAACGAGGGTGAAGAGACCGACGAAGAAGAAACAGAATGGGAGAAGGTAGGCAGCCTGTCACTTTCTGTTAGGCGGATTTATCACTATTTAAGTCAGGTTTAAACATACCCAAAAGTCGATCTTCAGTTCAAGCCATACTGTAGCAATTGAAGATAGCGATCCCACGTTGATACACCAGTAAAAGATATTGTACAAGCTCTGGATCGTAACAGCCGGGTCAACAATAACTCTTTCGCCAGTCTTAAGAGTCTTAAGAACTGGCTTGGTTTTTGTATACTGCTCAGCGATCAGCGGCGAAACGTTACTCTTGATACCGCCAGTACCGAGGCCAAGAACAATCATGGCAGCAATAAGACCACCGAGTCCAGCGCCATTATCGAGAGAACCGGGAAGTGATGTGCTAAATAGAATAACAAGACCACAAATGTATATCAACGCAAAGAGAACGATGGCATTGTAACGTCCCAGCCAGGCATCAGCAACAATAGCGCCAAAAATAGGTGTAACATAGCACCCTATCGTAGTTGCTCAATCAGTATTGTATCATCCCCAAACCAGTATAGCCCAATATGGTAGAATATCAACTTACAAAACTGAAAGAAGTATTGCAAAGCCGTAGCGGACGACTGCCCCATATCCAGAGCACCCGGTCTGAGGCCACCTCTCTCATTTTGAATATAGTTTTGAAAGGGTCCTGTGATACCGTAGTACGTAAAGCGCTCTGCCAGTTCCACGACAGCGACCAACCATGCGCTCATAGGAATCTTGTCGCCAATATGACGGAGGCGGAAAAGCTCCTCCTCGGTAGGCTCCTCGCCATCTTCAGCGAAGGACCCTTTTTCCTCAACATCGAGAGACTTCCTGGGGTATAAAGGAAGTTCTGTAGTTCCTGCGCGCTCTGGCGCACCAACAACAGCTGACGCGTGCTCACTATTCAATTCAAATGTTAGGGTCTATAAAGAATTAATTGATATTTTGGGGTAGACTATAAACTCACGTTCCCTGTGCACTATCGAAGACGTTCGTCTCGAGAGCATTCTCGACCTTCCTTTCTGACATCGTAACTTCCTGGCTTCCGAATTGTAGTTGGGAGACAATATCAGAGACAGCACATAAACCCCAAGCGAGGGGGTGCGCCGCCTCTTATAAAGCTACGGGAGTTTATACATTTCCTCAAGTGATAAGGAAGGTCATGTGGGTACTAGCTGATTGGTTCTTTTCCGGCAGATCTTTCACTGCTTTATTTTCTTCTTGTTTCAAGATGGCGGGTTTCAGTCCTTGATGGATCTAGGTATACTGTTCCAACGGTTGAATTTAGGAAGACCGTATATACAAGATTTGTCCTACCCGATTAGTGCTTTCATTATCCACTAGCTAACCGCCATATTTCCGATGCAGTCATCATCGTGAAACTGATACCCCAAGAGTATTCTTTCCTAACACCCCGAGAATTCGCATCATGAGTGTTAATCTATTGCCACGGGCTAGGTGGTAGTGGAGCTGAATTCGAAACTTCAGTGGAGTTCTAAGAAACTTATCGTTGTACAGGATGTGTGTTGATATGAAAATTTGAAAGTAGCTGTGCGCGTGCCCCAATCAACCCCACGCAGGCGAGCGATTCTAAGTTGGTGCAGATAGGGACTGGAAAAGGATCCACCTCATTGAGATCGGCTCACCTTTTACCCCCTTCCTTCCTAAAGCGTTGTGCTGTATCTTTAGTAGAACTTGAACGTCGTCGACTGGTTGGTCGCCCCCAGGATATCAGTGTATTGCTGTTCCGCATATCGGAGAGTTCCTTCTAAAGTAGATATTGCTCCGGCGCAAATAAAGCCGATATCGTTGCCAAGGAGAATACCAGAAATGCTAAAGCATAAGGTTTGCGGGGGGCAGCGTTGCTGCTGATCACAGGGCAACAAATACCATTTGCTGGCGCTCAACCACTTGATGTGACCGGTCTATTCTAATTGGTTCCTCTCGATATCTCTAATTCGAGGGATACTAGGCGCTAGCCTGTTATTGGAAGGCGGGCTGTATTTCTATTAATCTTCCTGGAATTTTGATCCTCCTCCTTCGACCGATGGAACCAAACGAAGCGGTGATAATGATGTTTATGGTCTCACCAGATAGATCGGTGAAAACACTACCCCTTACAGGTCTGATAACTTTGACGATAGCTGGTTCGAAATATGGAAACATCTTTCTAGTGAGTTTACCTAAAGCTGGACTCATTGGTTATATAATTATGATGAACCTCGTGCGCGCGCCTGATGTCGAAGATTGCCTTTAGCACCATTAACTCTTGGGGGTTCTAGTAATACCAATATTATTTCTATCCGAAGGAAGCCGCTCACAGAAATAAGTAGTGTTGATACTAATATCCCGGTTAACAACACAACGCCACATACCCGCATACCAAGAGACTTGGAGAATGCGCACACGACCTGTTCGAAACGTAAGTCAATATTCGGACAAAAGTGGTGATCTCAGAGATACTATCCAAGGGCACCTACCTACTTCGCAATCCGTTACTTGTCTTGGTATTAAATGAGGATAATATTAATGTGCCATGTAGAAAGATGTTCCGGCTTTGAGAATAAGAATAGGTATTGATGAAATCGATAGGAGTGGGTAAGCATTCTGTGATAAGTCTAGAGATCGCTCGCAGGTAAAACCAAATATGGGAGCGCTAGAGGTACATACATAGTAGAAATCTTGGAACCAGATAGAACGAGTGGGGTTGATGAACAAGCAGGCCCCAAGACCCAGAACCATCCATGATCTTCTATGTATGATAGATAAGCTTAATGTTTTCGGAAGGGCGGCGTAAAAGCCTAACCTGTAGGCACACTGACTGCAATCCGATGTCAGTTATTATAATCATGGTATATCACTCGCAGATTTGATGATTACTAAAAGGTAATCGACACGATACCAATTCATCTGTTTGTGGATGGAGGAGAAAAATGGACGCGAGAGCTCTTTATATACGCGTGTTTTTTATTATTATTAGCGACCGTTAAATGTGTCATTCGACCGAAGCTCACCCCAACCACAAGCGTGGGGGTGCACCGGCCCCAGAACGAGTGCAATTTCGACCGCGTGCCAACCGCAAATTCAAAGTGGAGGTTGCCAGGTACGAGTGTTAAGAAAATAATATAGTTCAAATACATGATCTATCATTTGTAAGATACATGTATGTACAGCGGTAGGTAATAATTGATCGAACACAGCGATGCCTGTTTTGGTAAAACGCCAACATTTGGTGTTTGTACTCTCAGGGCGTTCCATCACTTATTACCTATCGCTGTACTTACATATAGTAATATGTACTTAATTTGTTAATCACAGAGTGTCACTCGGCTGTTCTCAGGCAAACCATCACCGACTTTTAAGGTCTTGAATGATATTACGTCAAAACAGGAAGTCCAGGGTTTTAAGATGCTTTGATAAAATATAATGTCGTATTGCATCGTTAGAAGTAAGTAACTACAAGTATATATGTGGAATATCATCCTTTACAAAAAGGAAATCGCCATGAAAACAGTGTGCATATGAGAAAAACAACCATAACGTATCATATATAGAAATGAAAAACAAGAGGAATAGTGCCAGGATAATAGGGATAATATGAATATCGCCATACAAATGTGATTGTCCAATACCACAAGAAGAGCCGCGGGGGGGGGGGGGGGGGCGTAAATGAAGGAATAAAAATGGAGAACCCTCGCCAAAGGCAGTGACTAGTACATGAATCAATGGGAAACAAATGAGTAATAATAGCTCCCAGAATATATAGAGGCCTGAAAGGAAAGAAAAACGAATCAATCCAAATCCATAATACCCTCCTCCTCCTCCTGTCCTTCGATCTTTACCTTAACCTCACCTTCATCCTCCTCGGATCCCTTTTTAATTTTACCTGCCTCTCTCTCTGCCTTTTTGACCCTCTCCTCCCGCTCATTCTTAATCTTTTCCAGCAGCGGCATCCTTGAATTCTTCTCGTCTTTATGGTTCCTCCACAAATGCTGATACATGTTCGCCTCCCTCTCCGTCTGCATTCCACACAGAGGACACACCAGCCACAATGACTTATCCTTGGTCCTCCCTACCATCCGCCGATGAGCACCATCGTCTCCCCCCGGGCCCTCTCCATGCACAATCCACGACATTGCAATTTGCAGATCTACTTCCGGGTGCTGTCTTTTGATATGTCCTCTTATGGCATCTCTAGACAAAGAATTATAAGAACACAAGTAGCATTGCAACTGTTTTGTCTTTCCATGATAATCAATCTCATGAACTGTGCGATCTATCAGAGAGACAAATGCACCTTCACAGCCGTCGAAACGGCAGAGAAAACTGCTGGGGTGGTAGTGATGATGAAATTGGAGATTGCGGAGCGTCATATATGAGCGTGAACAGTTAGGGACGTTGCAGGGGTAGGGTTTACGGCGGTTGTTGAGATTGGCCGGAGGTGGAGCGAAGTATGTCCTTGATTGTACATGTTCTTCGGTGTCTAGGGTTGATTGAGGAGTCGTGGGTGCTGACAGCGTTGGTGAGAGCATTTCTACATCGGAATGTGAACCTGTAGATGATGCAGAAGCGGTCATTGACAATGAGCCGTCGGAGGGTAGTGTTACCATAGAAAAGCCTTTTGGGTTTAATTAGTTTGAAAAAGAAAAGTACTTTTTTTTTGATTTTTTTTTCCGTTTTGATTTTTTTCGTTTTAATTGATTAAAGGATTAGCGACAGTGGTAAACGTAAAGAAGCGATAAATCTTGCAGAACGATTGGCAAAACGGAATGATTGACAGTGTGCTAAAACATCAGAGAAGAAGAAGATGGGAGGAGAGTATTCTTTTTAAGGATTAGGACTTCAAGTCCTCAATAGAATTGATAGCATTGTATCGAAGGTGATCTACAGGCGAGTGACGGCTGGTGATGTAGCGGGCGCCAATAGAAGTTGACATGGGATGAGATTAGTATTGTAGCGTACGTATATGCACTGTTTGTGAAATTGAATTGATATAGGTAGATCTTCGGCCGTAGTTCCTGCTACATGTAGCTACATGTGCATGTGTCCATCGAATGGGCTGTAATTAACTAGCGCGCCGTAAGATCTCTACATGTATATACATCAGAGATTCTGAGTACAATTAAATACTATAGTTAACACGAAATCTTTTCGGTGAAAGAAATATTTCAGATGGAGGTATAGCGGGTCGATCGAGCTATCTTTTGGCGTAATAAATACTATTTGTTGGCTCGCCGACATACCTTGATCCACCGTATCTTTGAAACCTAACCCCGGCAGACGCTTCAGGCAGGAAACTAGTGAAATCCGAATAGTCACATTTAATTACATGTATGTATGTACAGACTTGTAAACTTCAGCGTGTCTACGCTCTGTACTCAATGTGGCCCACAAGGGCGCTCGAGGCGAGGTTTGAGAGTGCTCTCGAGATTCCTCGTCCTCGTTGACCTAACCTCGACGCCCAACAACACCGTTGTCCTCAAGCTAGGTGCCTAGAGGAACACCGAGGACGGTTCCGGGAGAGCAACAAGCGGTATATAATCCAACTAAAATAAATATTTTATCCTTGAGCAATTGACCTCATCTTAATCGGGAAGATTACATAAGTGCATGATATGCCAAGAGTTGTCCTCGGGGGTCCTCGAGGCAAGGATAGGTACATGTAGTGTCCTCGAGACTCCTTGCCTTTTTAGACCATCGCCCTTGTATGTCATCGAGGACATGTCTTCGAGGCAAGGGCACAAGGACGCTCGTCCTCGCAGACCACACTACCTGTACTGCAATATACTTACTAGCATACCTCCTAACTAACCCCCGAGACTCACTCCTTTCCACGGCATATTTTTGTTCATGTAAAGGGTAACGAAAGCAGAAGAGCATACGAGAAAGGCTATATTAATATTTTCAACTCGCACTATTACTCATCCCTCATACCGTTTTCCACAACTATATCTATCCTCGAGATAAATTAACAAAATAAAAGCTGCGCACGCTGCTCTAGATACCACCTGATTTTACAAAGTCCACATAATCTCCGACAGCGCCAATAAGTTCTCGTTCAACGAGCGACGGGCCTGCAGTGCCGATGAAGATTCACGGCGGTTGCTCATTGCCTCGGAAAAGTAAAGTTCAACAAGAACCTTGAGATCGTCGTAGCTAAAATCGAGCTTACCTTCCTTTGCTGTTGCAATGAGGTTTTGCATACCTGCAGTGTAGAGCGCGTAGAACCGGGTTGATCGGTCAAGCTTCACACCTATTTCAATGTTCTTTAAGTTCTGCTGTAGAACTAGTATGTTGAGCTGCATCCGTTGGGCACCAGCGTTATTGATGATTTTGATTTGATTCGCGTTGGCAACAAGAATATGGTCCATGAGTGCTCCAAGACCTCTTGTGAGAAACCTGAAGAGCGAGGACGTTAACACCTTGATACCTTAGCTAGTAACGGGGTTGCTTAGAGCTTACTTTGTCTCTTTCTCCCTGAGGAGATTTGATATATCTTCGTCAAACCATACTAGGTCAACATTGAGAGAAATAACGTTGGAGTCTGGAGTGTTTATAGTGCTGTCAAGGCAATAATTGCCCTCAGTCAGGCATAGATGGAGATAATGTAATACGTGGCATCGTGCCTCTGCACGTAACGTAAATAGAATTGTATTCGCCAATTCTTGGAAGTCGTTTACAACTTTGTCAAAGCCACTACAATTTTATTAGCCTGTGAAGTAAAACGGTTCCATCGAGCAATATACCTGACTGTTTCCGTTGTCATTGGGAGGTATACAGCTCTTGCATCGTCATCTTGCGATTTGGCCGACTCGATCAAAGTCCACCTTCGCCTCGGACGCTAAAATCATGTCAATCTTCGGTTTTCGGAGGTTTACTAAAGGTGACTACAAACCCCAGCTGAGCTGCCATCGTTTCTAGAAAAACTTGGAGCATCTTCAACATGTCGAAGCTGCACCACATTACTGGCAAGCCATTTCTGAAATTGATTGTTAGTAGAATTTATGGGCTATTTCACGTTTGAGGATCACATGCCATGCTTGAATATAGAATACATAGAGAGTTGATGACTTTTCGATCAGTGATAAGATCCGGCGAGGTAATTGGGTTGTTTCCTTGTTCTTTAAGCTCTATATCTATTTCCTATATTGCGAGTCGTTAGAGTTGTCGAAGCTCCGATCCTTGAAGAACCACAAACCTTTTTTAAAGCCTCTTCATCTTTGATACTGGTCCAAACTTCAAGCATCGCAGAGCGAGTAGTTTCGTGCTTTGCCCACTCGGCACTTTTCTTGGTCTCTAACACAGGACCACCTGCATTCCCAGAAGCAGCTCGATGTCTTGAAACAAGTTCTATCCGTAAACTTAGTAATCCACTCCCTTAAACATCCGTAAACCACCAAATACAAACCTTTGTACCAATCAAAACACTTGTCATAGTATGATTTCAATAAATCGATTGTCAATTGCCCAAAAGCTTGATCAGGTGGTATGGTATCAAGCATTTTGCACAATGCAGTAATCAAGCCGAAGAAAGATATAGCTCCCTTCATGACTGGCTTTTTTGCAACCGCCGCCCATTGTGGATCTTGATGAAATGCATCCAAGTCGCTAGTTGTCTGGTTAAAAAGATCGCGAATAGTGTCTTCTAACGATGGGTGAAACACATTGACCAAAAAATCGTCTAAAAAGGAAGTCAAGGTACTCAGAACAATACCCGATCTGATAGAATGTTAGCATATGTACGACTACATGTATATATGAAGTATACGAATTACCCGGATGGAACAATTTCTTTGATTCGGTTCAGGAAGGCAAGCGACGGCGGAAGAAGGAAACCCATGTTAAACACGCTTGGCTCAATAAGAAGCTTGTGACCGGTTGCGGCACCATCAGACGATGTATGCACATCAGTTGACGTAGTTGCCGGTCGAAGAGACTCAGACACAAGCCCGGGAACAGAGGCTTTTAATATAGACTCGAGGTCATCATGATCAACTTTCATCAGTAAAGAGGTGCTATCTGTGTTGGCCAATTTAAACAACATCTAGTTGCACGTTAGTCGATTGCGGTTGTGACGAATGGGTGATCTGTAACCTTATTTTTATCTCGAGGTGCCCTGGAAGTAATGACATTGTTAATGTTCTGGTGACCCAAAGGTGCGCTTGCTACGCTTCGGCTGTCTGTCATAGTAAGGTAGTCGTGAAGCAGAGAACGCATCTACAATCATTAGGATACAACTCTTGTAAAAGAAGAGAATGAGGAAATACTTCGCTCTGTATTAATTGCCAGACTTCCATAAACCCATTTGTTAGAGTAGCTGCGTCTTCCGAGCCATCCCTTTTGCTGATACCCTTGACGACGTCGTATATCACTCTATGTCCTTCCATCACTGCAGCAAACTTCGAGTACAAAGTCCAAAGCAGGTCGTGTATTACAGTAACTCGGACGTCATTCTCATTCAGACCAAGGTCCATGGTTTTACCAAATGAACCAGCTGCCCGGGCTACGCCTGTCAGAGAACTTGGATGCCGTTGGTCCACTTCATTATTTGTCCTATCCACGAGCTTAAAAAGCTCGACTGGCAGACGTTGATTGACTGTTCCAACAGCATTCGAGAGATGTCCAAGATTGTTGATCGCTTCTAGGAGAAGACGGATATAGTATATGCTATCAGCTTCGGGGTTTTTATTCGTGTTCGCATCTTCAACCATCTAAAGACGTCAGCGAGGATCGGTAAAGGCGCAATTTAGACTCACAGGCTGAGTGAAGTCGGTCGAATCGAGAAACTGGTGAAATGGCCTCTTTCCATTTTTTACTAGGAGTGCTTCTGATTATCAGTAAATAAAGACCAGATATAATTATGATATTGATGCCAGACCTGGCATAGAAAATCTATTGTCATTGGCCCCAGGGGTGTCTTCGCCGGATACTAGGCTATATTAGTAGATACTAAAGCATACTTATTCTAAGTAACCTTACAATCTTTTTGATGTGGAGAATACGGTTTCCATCGGTCCACACAATAGGGGGATTTTAGATACAGATGATTGTGTAACTCTTCAATCAAAATATCGGCCAAAGACTGATCCATGTTAGGGGGTTTTCAAACGAATTACGGGGATTTATATTACCGATTCTTGGCTGCCCAAGTATATTCTTAGGTCTGACAGAGCACCTATCTCCATCATTTCTGGTTGGTTTATGACCTTGAGGGCATCTGACAACACTTCAACGGCAGTAAGAAATCTCTTTTCAGATATTCTTGCTTCTAGCCTCTCTGGAACGCCATTGACCTGCTCTCTATAGAAAAAGGTTAGTATTTATTATGGATTCATTGGACTATGCGATGAGAAACGAACATTAAAGATAGCGTTCTCAACATGGTATCATATTTTTGTGATGTATCGACCATGTGCTTCACTTCAGGCTTTGAAGTCGAAAGGTCGGACTTTGCTTGGATTAGAGACTCTCTAAGAGTTCTTACTTTGCCTTGAGATGTAGTGATACTCCTCATTATGCTGTGAAAAGTCCCAATTGAACTATTGAAACCCTGGTGATGATCTAACATTTAATTTAGAATACGTCTTTTTATAGTGATGTTCATGTAGCCCCACCGTTTACAATTGCTTGCAAGGCATATTGAAGTTCGGAATTTGTTTGTCGAAAAGCATCATACTGGTGTGCCCGGCCTAGCGAGCTTGTATCCATCAACTGTAACGCCACTTTCACGGGAACGCAGCTATCAAGGGTCATGAAATCCCAATCTTTCTCGATGACGTTCAAAATATCTGATCCAGAACTAATCTCAGCATTCCTAGCCCCAAATAAGAAGAGAATAAAAAGGCTATTGAGTAGCTTCTCACCCTCAAGCTTTCTGGTTCCTGGCCCGTAGGTTTTTACACCATTCTGCCTCGGTGCGCTCCGAGATGATGGGTCCCTTTCGCGACTTCGACTACGACTGCGATAGCTCTGTTCCGTACCACTAGGTGCGAGCTCTCTTTGTTGTGATCTTGGCGGGGGCTGGCGACCATAATCGCTCCCCCCATAGCCAGCATATCCTCCGGATCTTTCTGCTTCACGGTCGTTTCTCCATCTATCTCTTTCACCGTATCCTCCCCTCTCACCGTAGTCGTACCCGCCATAGTTGTTGCTAGCACCACCGACCTGACGCGGCCGTTGACCTTGACTGTCCATATCAAGCAATTGTGATGCCCAATTAAATACGCGGCCTAGGTTGGGTTATGTGGGAGCTTAGGTTGGGCTGTTCTGGTCAGTTGGGACAACTTGTTGTACGAAGCTCTAGAGCTTTGGTGATACTGCATAGAGGTGCTCGAGCAATGGCCAGGTGCTCCTTGTCAATTACCCGGCCCTGATCTTTGTGTCACCACCCTAGAGTAGAAAGGTCTCCGAACACGACCGCTATTGCACGTCACATCATAAATAGCGCGTTTTTATCAGTCCTGTTCGGAAATATCGGTCTTTCCCCCTCGTCTTAGGTCATTGAGTTGCTCAACGCAAGAAGAAAAATGCCAAGATCACTTTCAAAATGAAGAAATAAATAAATAAAATGATATAAATGGCGAATAAGGATTGGTAAGGGAAAGAATAGAGTAAAACAAAGAGTAAATATCATTTTATAAACAATTCAGAAGTATTTTTAAAGTACTTCGTAATCACTTTCAACTCAAGTACTGACTTCAAGCAGATGCAATATGAGCAGAAGTCAGAAAACGGTAACTCGGACAGTTTCTACTAGTGGAGTGATCATGGGGAGGCTAAGGGGGCGTACCTTTCGCTCAGATATTATTGCAACAGATTGTAATTGAAGGTGGTGTATGGAGTGGTAAATGTGTCAAAAGTAATTTTACCAACGGTAGTAAATCGTTTTACCACCGGTGGTGAAAATAATGCCATCATTTATACCTTATAACGGATAAAAGCACAGACCTTTGGCCAAAAGGGGCTATATAATGCTAATGTATGAGTCCTATTGTCCACTGGTGGAGAATTTTACCATTGGTGACAGGTATTTTACCACTAGTGGCAGGTATTTCACCACTGGTGGGGAACTTTCATAAGTGTTGGCATTAATGATTGAACATCTACTAATGAAGTATAGCGCAGCATAAAGATTGAAATTCAGTGTTTATACTGGCACAAGGACTGAAATTCAGTACTTATACCACCGGTGGTAAATAATTTATCAACCGTTGGTAAAATTACTTGTGACACATTTACCGCTCCATGGTAGGTGGTGAGCTTGCCGAAGATCGTTTTTGACATCGGTAGCGGAACCCTCACACTTCGACCTTTATTAAAAAGAGGAATAACTTGGCGCTAGTGTTGGAGGGATTGGTTATATGTGGCACTGGAACCATACTCAAGATAACTTCTATACACTCTTTGGTAGTCTCGTTTCAACACGGTTGGGCACGAGGTCAACTCCTTGGGTTCAATCTGTTAGATGTTCTAGTGCAATAAGTGATAAGGCCACACCGGCATCAACCTTGATTTTGTATAGGCGAAGTACCACGACGGCCACGGTAAAAGGTTCGGTTTAATGGAATTGTAGATGACTTACTCCGAATCTAGCCATTCACAATTCCCGTTCTTGAATTTATTTTCTTGGCGCTGTTCCATGGTGTAAGCTTATTATTTGTTGTACTATACCGTGACCACATATCCGGTCCCAGGTTTAAAGCGAGGGAGACAATATTAAAGAGTGAGTCATAATGAATCACTCGTGTCAACGGTTTTTATCCGCATAGCTGTAACTGCGCATCCAGTCGTCACATTGCTCACACCGCAACCGCCGTATGCTGGTATGGGTAATACTTGTCAACCACGAAAAATTGCATGAAGTTATAAAGGACTAGTGGAGTTTATATTTCACGAATTAACGATAGGTTAACTCTAGCCGCAAAACATATCTCAAATAGATTCAATAACTGGCTACTTAGTGATTTAATTGAATGACCAAATATCTACTACATACTATAAAAGAACCCATATACTTGTATGTACCGAAGAAGTGTCGTTAAAACCTAACCCGACACCTGCCGCCCTCACCATTGAATAGAATACAGCAGGTATAAGCTTCAATTTCATAGCTAATAAAAGGATAGATGAGGTGGTCCAGCTGATGGGAAGCTCTGCTTGCGTACACAAGGCCCGGGTGCCTAGACTCGGGCTGTAGAGGATTAATCATGATCGTTGGTCTATTTGAGCCGGAGAAATAGTGACCCGGGCCGGGGTATTACCTTGGTCTCCGAAAGACGCCAAGACGGAGTGACCTTGGCTTATAGATGTTATCTGTAATCAATGGCGGGAAACACTGCTCGGCCGCCCACCCGAATCCAAGAAAACCTATTTACTGTTTATGTGCTAAATATAGTAATTTACATGATAAATAAATCCTTTCACCCTGCCGCAATCCAGTCCCCGAAAAACTTTTGTGCAAGAAAAACGCCAAAGAAACAACTGATTATACGGAACCGATCATCATCCGAGGCTGTACAAAAAAGAAATCAAATAAGTTACCCTATCCAAGTCTTCCCTTCCTCTGTTCTCTGTGAACAGCACCCTTCTCTTTTCTCGCAATTCGTTTCTTCTCATTTTTCCTAATTTTGTCCTTGGCTGCCTTTTCGGGGTCGGTAACCATCTATGGTGAGGTTAGTACATATAACAAATATTGTATTTAATAGGTTCTCTCATTACCTGAATTGTTCTCTTCGACTTCCTCTCAAGTCGTCTCTCCTTGACCTGGGTACGAACCACATTGTAGGCTTTTCCATACGCAGTAGGGCCCATCTTAGTCTGCATCATACTCAGGATCTCCTGGGCGATATCTTTTAAATCTGCGCCTCAAGTTAGGTTTATGGGTATAAGTCTAGAAAAGAATAGACCATACCTTTCATAATATAGTTCTCGGGAGAGTCTACCAGATTATACAGAGGTACGATCAACTTGTTTGATAACGGGACCAAATCCTCGCCTGTAATAAGTTGGACCATAGCTGCCATCCACTGCAACCCGTACTTTTTGCCCAGGATTTGTCCCTTGATGACATTTAGTAATCTTGAAAATGAGAAGGGCTGTGAACCTTACCTTCTTGACGTTTCTTTCGCTTCGTATAATGCCCGAAACTCTCCCAATTATCCACAAAAGCGCAGTATTGAGTTCATTATCTTCCTCCACATCCACATCGATAGCAGCCATTTTATTAGCATAGAAACATCTCCCCATGAAGAGAAGATTTTTGACGACCTGTAAGCCAAGCTCATCTGATAATTCGGCGTTGTTCAGTTGCGACAATGTCGCCCGCGCAATATTAACCATATCAACACCGTTCATCGACAATCCACGGCCGTTTTCAAGTGGTATGTTTGCTAGCGATTCGGAAGATTTGGCATACTCGGCCAAAAGAAGACCGATGAGACGCGCCGCGGAAAGCTTAGCCCAAGCATGGGGGAACACCAGGCAATCTCGGATTATCTTCCACATGGTAGTGTTCGCCCCCGAAAAGCTGGTTTCAGGAAAATGCTGTACAATCTTGGCCCAGGTTTGGAGACCGAAGTAGACTAGTTCCCACTCTGTGGCAGTCTCGTTCTCTTCGTCGCAAGCGCCTCTTAGTAGAACTTGAAGTCTCTCGGTTACAAAAACGACTTCCTTCTGACCCTTTGTTTCGTAAACTTCAAAATACAGCCCATAGACCTGGAGTGCCACCCGAACAAGTAACGTTTTCTCGTCTTGTTCTAGCCAGCCTCGGATTAGGCCAACAAATGTTTGTAGCCGTTCCTTGTCCGCCCTTTCAAACATTTTCTTGATAATGGCACCCGCCATCTCACGGCATTCAGTAGAATCGTCATTGATCAAAACCATGACCAACGGGACGAAAAACGTTGCGATGACATCTTGAATAAGATTATCTCCGATTTTAGTGGTAAGTAGATTGGCGGCCTCCAGGACTGACTGCCTTCCGGATTGGTGAACATAGCCCAAGTTTTTCAACAAGAATGCCAACTGTTTATTCAAACGCTCCTTGCCTTGTGGATATTCCATAAGAAATTGGAAGTAAACCCCTCTTGCCAGATCTCTGACAGTTCTAGTCTGATTTGTCACCATGATTGCAGCCACATTGTCAAGCACCTCGTAAACCTCCGTGATGACTATCTTACGAGATAGAACAGCTTTAAGAAAATTGAAGGTTACGCCCTGGCGATCTGGCTCTTCCAAGTCAGGCTTGACACGGGTGAGAAGATACGCGATGGTTGTTTCCTTGACTTTGAAGCTGCGCCGTTCTCGTAGTATTGCTGCTAAAAGCTTTAGACTTGCCTGTGCAATCTCCGAATTTGTCGAGGGGGAATTCTTGACAAACGATAATGCTTGTTGCACAAAAACGGGGGCACCATCGTCAATTGCAGGTAAAGGAACCCGAATGATCGTTGTTAGAAGTCGCAGAGCAGACACCTGGATCTCTTCTTGCTTTGAAAGCAATGCATCACCTATAATGGGGATAAAGCCAGCTAAAAGTTCGGGTGTTTTCAGATCCTCGTACTTCTGTAAAACTGTTCGCAAGATATCAAGTGAGAATCGCATAAGCTTATACGTATGAGATGAAGTAGTAACCCCGGATACCGCCTTTGAAGGAGCTTTGAGGTTAACTATATATCTTAGTGTTGTACTATCCATTTTCTTCTCTGCTGGGGTAACCGATGTAGCCTTGTGGGCTTCCTGGATGACTTGGTAACAGAAAACCAAGAGCTCCTGTGATTTAACAGCTTCATTCCTTAGGAGCCCAACTCCTATCCTCCTCAATAATTCATCAATTTTCTTGGCCATTTTCAAATTCATTTTCTCCTGAAGTAGCGACTGGATTGGTTTGATGAGTTTTCCGAGATGAGGTAACGTAGTCGTAGAGGCCAGAAGATCCATAGAATCATAACTCTTACTGCTCTTAACTTCCTTCATCTTACTGATATAACCTTCAGCGTCCTTCTCCATTCCCGTGACACCAAAAATATCGTCCATGGCGACGTCGACGATCTGCGAAACACAGTAGTCCAAATCACCGGGGGCATAGCTAGGCACTACAGACACTAATATTGAGTGAACCGTGTACGACAAGACGTGAAGCTGATAACCACGCAAGAGTGCTCCACGAAGTTCTTTAATGACAAAACCAAAGTATTGAG